TCATACGGCAAAAAAGTCTATTAACTGGCAGTTGACTTCTGACTTCAAACTACCATCGCCCCACTGTATGTTATATTCCACCACTTTCACAGTACTCATCTTACCTCTTTTCTGCCTTTGTGGCTGTCTCTTTAACATCTTTAAAACACTCTTTTGTTCCCTCAACCCCCCCCCCACATTCTTGACTTTTTGTCACTTTGATGCTCCTTCTCCTCTGTGAAGCTTGAAGTCAACTAAAGGACTAATGATAACCATCAAAACGCCTGCCATTTGATATAAATAAATAGTTTGGACGTGTTTTGAATAGGTGTATAAATATTCTCATGAAGTGGATAATTTCACTCAACCGTTAGATTCGCTCATTTAAAGTGCGAATGAATTACTTCCTAAGGTAAATCGTTTCGAAAATCTCATCCATTAAATTGTTAACCATTTGGTTAATCAGTTTAGGTTAGTTTTAAAACTATTCTTCTTGGTTCCAAGCATTTAAGTTTAGTTCAAGATTTCAAAGTTAATTCATGTCATTTTAACCTACTGAACTGCACAGATAACACAGTATTGTTATTCATTTTATTAGCTGTGGTAGGTTCGCCCAAAGTAGAATTTTCGATAATCGAAAGTTACGTTACTGACCACTTTTCTTTATGGGTAAAAGAATTATATGAAGCATATTATAACCACATAAAAACGTTCAAAGTACCCCCCCCCCCATTTTATTGTCTTTAACTCTCTAAAGGCTTAAAAAGTCTGTAATAGTCACCAAAATAAGTTTGGGTGAATTCAGCCAATTCCATAAGTTTGAAAAAATCCACCATCGTTATATGATGAAATATGGGATAAATAAGACACAAAATAATATTTATTTATTACTTTATTATTTTCAAGCAACAATTTAGTAAAGAAATTCATTTCTATTCATAATACGTACTTATTAGATAACATTTGAGTATCGGATCTTATAATTTTTTACGTCAGTAGCACCTTACGTAAAAGGATTCTTAATGGTTGATGGAGTTTCGCCTGCGGTGGGAGGAACAAAGAACACAAGTTGGCCAAATCCACTTACCTTACCATAATTGGACCTCTTTAACAACCTTGGTTTCACCAATCATGGACTGGCTTCTGTTTCCTGTTTCATTTTCGATTGTTCAGACTTTCCTCTCTAATTTCTTAACTCAATTCAACAATTGGTTTTCTGATTTTCGAAGGAGCTTTGTATTATCCTCTTCGTCTTTGGAAAAATCATAGGGTTTTCAAGAGACTAGTTTAAGTAGACTCGGTCATGTTATATTATAGCTTATTCAACTTTAACGCTGCCTTAGTCACAGTCAAATAGGTCTTACGATCAAAATTAATTAATTATTAATCAAAATGTATGCCAACTGACTGTCTTTTTACCTATCTCGCATTTTACGCATTCTATGCGATTGAGTTAGAATCTCGTCTATAATCTGTTAAATCCCAGTTTAGCTACTAATTGAATTAGTCTCCAATCATTTATACCACAAGCCTTTTCAAGTGTGGATGATGCAATACAAATGTCGAAAAATCGATAATATGAGTCACACCGATTTCTTAAAAAAGTAATGCTTTTATTGAGACTGAAAATAAACATTTAAAGTTTTCACTTTTGCATGCCTGAACAACTTTCCACAGCTTTTAAAGGGATTTAGCCGTTTGTTACAAAGTGGACATTTTTAGAGTAAAGTACCTTGTCAATGATTTTAGAGAAAGCTGTACAAGAAAACGAAATTTGAAATACATAAGTTTGACTTTGTTTCATTTCACTACAATAGTATTTTACTTCCCATCTACATTTCCATCTATTTCAGCGAGTTCATGCATTTAAAACCTTTTTGATTATATAAATTAGATCAATGGGTAATTTGCTCCAAATGTGAAAAACTAAATGTATCTCAAACATGCCTCCTAAAATGTACAATATTAAACATATTAATTTACTTATATTTACGTAAGAGAAAAGTTAAAAGAGAGCAAAATCAGCAAGATACTCCTGGAATCATGTAATTTCTTTTAGCTAACCAAAAGAACGAATAGAAACAAGTTACGGGTCTGAGGTAGGCAAAATTATTGACTTTCTGAGGTGAATGATTTAGGGTACTACGCCCAATCAATCAATTGTATTATGGCTGAGATCTTTGTTATTTCGATTTCTTTACTTACTTCCACCTCATCTTCTCTCCACTTCACGCTCTAGCGAACTGTTTTGCTATTTCTCTTGTCCAGACTAGAATGAATTATAAAGGCAAAGATATCAATATCTCAATACAGAGATTAGTCTCACTTTTTCGATCGATTGAGATGCCTATGTGGTTTTTCCAATCCCCAATGGCTGAATACCGTGCCTGATTGAATGACGGCATTCGTGAAGAAGGTATGTGACCATGGGGAAATGAGATGAGCACTGACGCTTACGGCACCAGCTGATTCGCCAAAGAGAGTGATTCGAGAAGGGTCACCTCCAAAGTCCTCTATATGCTCTTTAATCCATTTAAGAGCCAGTCTTTGGTCCCACAAACCCATGTTTCCGGGAACCTACAGATGGACATAGTACAAGTAGAAAGGTATGCTCATCTTTTCGAATTCTAATAATTGTATTACGTCAAAACCAAACATCTAAAATGTGTGCGAAACAGTAAATGAAAGTGTGCATGGGACACTGCTAAATGCTGTAATCCATAGCATCTATAAACATAAGCACGAACTCATAAGACCCTTGCAACGTGGATGAATATTATCCTCAAAGTTGACTCTATTTATAGGGCACATAAATTAACGTAAACTCGGTCTCTGTGTCTCAACTAATTTCACCTATATTATTACCGTGAACTGTACTGCTATAAGACAATATAGCTACAGCAATATTTGACTTATGGGGTGTACGATAGACTTACCTCCACGTGGTGCACCATGGGCAACGTATACTCATACGGCAAAAAGTCTATTACCTGGCAGCTGACTTCTGGCTTCAAACTATCATCTCATCTTTCCTCTTCTCTGCCTTTTTGTCTGTCTCTGTTACATCTGTGAATCATTATTCTGTCCCCCCCCCCCTTTCGACTTTTTGTCACTTCGATGCCTGTCATTTGAAATAAAACAAATATTTGACTTATAATCCTAAATAACTAATAGGTCACAGAAGCAGTTTATAAAGCGTAACAAAGGCTCATTCATTAAGTTGGCAGTTG